TAACTTAATGCCATCTATGAAAATCGGGCACGAACTTATGCAATCAAATAATATATATATATATATATAGAGAGAGAGAGAGAGAGAGAGAGAGAGAAAGAAAAAAACGCGTTATCACGCGATACAGAATTTTTTCGCTGAAAAGTGAAAAGTCCGAGAATTTGGCAGGCGGCGCCAAATTTCACGACGGACAGCAGGACGGAAAAGCGTACACGTACCGTGTATATCGACGAAATATTTTTAGAACGTTCCAAGAGATCGATCAGGCAGCCGCGCGTAATGACAGAAATTAATGAGAGATCCTTTAATCAGTCGTGTTCTCACCTGCACCTTTCACACATACACCCACACACACACTTGGAATGAAATACTACGTACATGCAAAGTGCTAAATTGAACGATCGAATCTCGAGATCCGTTCACGAATATGAACAATGTAAATCTATTTATTTTAATTACACATCTCTGTTTTGCATTTTTTTTATTTATAAAATGATATAGGTATACGTTTGGCTCCCCGGGATGAGAAGCAGATAAGCATATAAGGTATAGAAAATGCGATTAGAAGGATTAGAGCTCGTTGCTTACTAGGGGGTAATGTGTGCTTCTGCTTGCTTTTTTTACGTAAAATCGGAGTGTATTTATTCTAAGCCCGAAAGGTGTAAAGAAAGTGCAGGTGTAAGAAAGAGCATGTCTATATCGTGAGACAGGTTCCAAAGTTGTTTTTTTTTTCAGCTGCGCTTTTGATTGCCCTGCTTGCTTTCCATTCAATAGCCGATGATCAAACTTGAAAGATATCAATTTTCGATGTCATAGATACTTGGGAGAAAAGCCAATCGTGGCATTTCGTTTATTTCGTTTATTAGCGAACGGACCCATTTTCGCGTATCTACCAGCCGTAATTAAATAAACTCGGCGAAATTTCGCCGGCTTCAATGTTACTTGCTCAATTATATATACGTTTATCCGAGCGCACATAAAAAGCACGACGGATTAAAAGTTCGAAAGACAGAGTTACGTCGCTGGAGAAGAGAGAGAGAGAGAGAAAGCGGTCGAATAGATAACTCCTATTTCGCTGGATAAGACGCGGCGAAGACTCGATAGAGAGTTTAGGATATTCGCACTCTCTCAAACACTCACCGTTTCGTTCTCGGGATGTCTCGACAGGCGGCTTGTGTGACGATACGACCGGCGCTCACGTCCGCGAAAACACGCACGCGAATTATCGGCAAATCGCTAATCTCGTTTGTCTCTACTGGTCTCCACCCCTCCGCTTCGTGCTTCGCCGAGCGGAAGGCACGGACAACATGGCGGCTGTTTCAAAAGGGCGGGTACTTCCTGCGATCGTGTGAAGCTTGCCCCGAATGGAGGTTATGCGAGTTTCGAGTTTACGTATGACGCTAAACGCGCGTTTAGTTTAGTTCTCTCTAATACAGCGATCACCGTAATTTGTTAGGAGTCGATATCTTTATGTGAAAATGCTAAATACGTTGAACGAATCTAGGATTTCTTCGAAAATATTCATATACACATTCGTCTTTTATCGGCGGTTTTTTTTTTTGACGCTTTTTCGCGTTATTTTTTAATTAAAAGAAACTGGTAGCTACATTCACAATCGTTTAATATCGAGGCTTTTTTAATCTTACTCTTATCAGATTTATTCTAATTTCGATAAAATAAACTGAATTATTTGTTTTTTTATTGTATTTTGTATAAATATGAAAGTTGATTTTTTAAATTGCTATATTCTTGTAAAATTAAGACAATTATAAAAAGTTCAATGTATTCAACAAGAAATGTTAATGAAAAAGTTTATGCCTAGTTTATATTTAATCTTTTTTAATCTATATTATATTATACTAGAACTTATCTTGTTTATCTTCAAGATTACAAAAAATATCTGTTGTATATCTATAGAAATAAAAGTTTAACCTTTTTGTAATATACTTTGACAATGTTCCAAAAGTACATCTATTCCTGTTTTATTCCTAAAATTTGGCTGGCAATTATGCAATTTTTGATGCAATAATTCAGGATAAATTTTTGCGACACGCTTTAAAGCATCTGAAAACAGAATAGAAAAACTGTATTAAAAATTAAAAAGTATATTGAGATTTATATTAAATCAAAAGCTAAATTATGTGTCACCTTAAAAAAAAAAGCAGTATAGATGTAGAGAGAGACGATAGCAAAAATATATTACCCAGCATTATCTCTTGGAAACGAGACTCTGGATCGTCTAAATGAATAATCATTGTTGTATACAGAGCGTCGATATGACTTCTGCTACCGATAGTATCATATTCTTCAGACGCAGTGCTCCATATGTCAACGAGTGCTTCCACAGCTGCATAGCGAATATCATCGCAACCATCGTCGAGTCTTTTCAATATCACTGGATATGTGCGGTGGATATGTTCGTCGTTTAGACAGGATAGTCCCTGTCCAACTGTTATTAATAAACAAATGGCGCGCATGGAGTATAGTCTAGTTTTCTTCGCCTTATCGTCCACCAGACTGACCAAAACTGGCACGACTTTGTCGAAGATAGACGGAAACTCGTCTATTGTAATACAAATTTTGGATTTTTCATTTGCAAGTGAATCCTCGCCTTTCTCGCCGGAATTAATTATTTTGTTCTCCAGGATAGCACAGAGACAGCAAACCGCAGCTGTGCGAATAGCTTCAGCTGCTCTGCCAGCGCTCCAGATGAGTCCAGGCACAACTAATTCCTCGATAATTGTGTTCACGAATTTATGCGGATCCTCGATATGTTGATGTAAATTCTGATTGTTAAGAAAGTATTCCGAAAGCAGAATAAAGTGCCGCAGTTTCAATTCTGGATCGGCATCCTTGCTCATGGTTTTCTTGAGAATAGGTAATGCGAGGTCCATACTATACGCCACGGCGATTCCAGCGCGATTTAGGCAAGCACAAAAAATTTGTGATTCCGCACTGTAAATCGACCACGAGGCGCACTCGTCGTTAATCGACGTTAACAGCGGTTTTACGTGATTGCGAAAAAGATCCTCGTTATCCTTTAGTGAATTTATATCGACAAGCACCTTCAAGAGTCTGTCCGCTTCCTCGCGAATGAAAGACTCTACGCTCATTGCGTACACAGTGAATATTACGGTGAATAATGCTTGAGTAATCGTCATGCAGTCCTGCACGTTCAAAATATTATGTAGAATATAGAGAATAAAAATAAAGTGTAGGAAAAATGAAGCTATATTTGAAACAAACCAACTAATAAAGAAAAAAAACATAATCATATCCGGATACCTGTTTACAAACTATGAGAAGAGAATCGCAGCAAGATAGTATTTGACGTTGATAGTTGCTCTTTCTGCTTTGGCAAACATACGGCCGCTGCAAGAAGTACGCGATTCTGTCCAGCTGTAACAAAAGAGCTCCCCGTTCGCTGCCATTGATAATCGCCGCGAAGACACGCAGGTGTCCGACCGTTAGACACTCCTCCAGAGTGGGAAGCACTAAGTGGCAATAAATTTTAGGTTCCACAAAGTAGCCCAAATATCGCGCAGCGGTTTCCACACAGCCCACGACTCTTTTGTCTTCGTCATTGCAAGCACTGTAACAAGTAGCATGCTGTAACTATAATCTTCTTAATTATAACATAGCGAATCCAATTTTTTGAAATAACAATAATACAATACAAATAAAATAAGATTTTGGAGTAACAAAAAATTTGTCTTTAAATTTTGCAATTTCCAATTTCTGATGGGAAATGTTGTATTTACCGATACATAGGTGGCAAGAGTTTTTCAATATATTGTGTAACATCCTCTTCAACGTTTAATATCAATACGCAAAGTAATTGCGCAGAGCGTACACGTATATCTGGCAACCAATCTCCAAGTTCGACGCTGATGCCATTAATTAGCTTACATAAATTCTGCTGTGCAATTACACGACATCCTAAATTTGGTCTAGAAACTAGAGATCACGATCTTACATAAGCTGTTTTTCAATCTATAATCTGTCTATAAACTGTCGCTTCTCGCGACTCCTCTTAAATACTTACTTTCCGGAGGATAATGTTCCGGATCTTCTGTAAGAAAATCCATCTTATCTTTCAACTTTCTGTCATTTTCGTTCTCTTCCATGTACAATCTTCCCGCAGCATCCCACAAGTTTGCCGCTTTCACACGAATTTCCTCGAGTTCGTCATGCAATCCTGTCAAGATCAATGGAAGAAGCTTGTGCCACCAACCATATCTGTCAGGTAGTTGTGTCAACCAGTAGCCAGAAACCTCAATTACAGCTATATAGATTCATAATAGGATTATACAAACTCGCACAAGAGTCGAATAAAAATATTAAAAAAAAAGATATCATACCTTCCCTGACAATTCCGCTTTGATCAAAGAGTCTCTGTGCCAAAGGAGTTGCCACTTCTTCCATCGACTTACTATTCCCATACTGGATTACATCACCTATCGCTTTAACAGCGGCGAGTCGAACTCTATAATGTTGGTGCGTAAAATTGTTCAAGATAGGTTTTATCAGATGCTCCGACTGCGAATAGAAATGCCTCGGCAGAGTCTTCGCGTAGTCCGATATGCACTTGCAGCTCTCCTTCTTTACATTCGGATAATTATCCATAACGGTGCGGGCCAATATTCCTGTCACATCCTGGATATATGGCGCCAGCAGATCCTTATATTTCGCGATTATCGTACGCAGAAGAGACACGCATTTCAAGCGTACTTCCTCCGATGACTCGATCTGTTCCTGCGCGCCTAATCGTCTAGACATTATTGGTATAACGTAGATTATGTGTTTGTCGTTGGGTGGCAGAGCTTCGAGAAAAATTTTGAGTATTCCTACAGTCAGATCCCGACATGTCTCAGTATTGTCGTTCAAGATTCTGACTAGAAATCTATCCACACTCTCCCATATTTTGACCAGATCGTCGAGTTTGCTCGACGTCTCCTCCCGAGATATATTTTTCATTATTTCTTCTAATGCTTGTCTGCGACGATTTTTTTCGTCCGCTTGCAACGAAACGGTAATCTTGCTTAATTCAAGATCCAATGCCATGTTTTATTCGGAATGGATTTTTTCCTGAAATCAAAATGACAGGATGACACAAAAGCACAGAGCTTCGTACGAAATTACAGAGAGTACAGACAAGTACAGAAAAGAATTTATATCAGATCTAAATACTGTGTGTTTCCATGACAACACTCCTGTCCGGATTGATGATAGATATATACATCCTTTTTGATCGCACAATTATCGCCGTTATAAATTCACATATTTTGTAAATATTAATATGTATTTAAACAATTTTTTTTAAATATAGAAAAATTTTTATATCTTGAAATATATTTATTATGTCTTGATCTAAAATACAGTGACTTTATATATAATCATACAGTATTAAAACTAACACTAGATCACTGGTAAGCATAGCATACACATCTATATATGCAATTTTACAGGATCCTAAAATGTGTTACAGTATCTAATACTGCAACGACTATATCTCCGCGACTATACTCATAGTTGGGTTTTTTATACAACCTATGATTATAGATTATAGATTATGAAGAGGAAAAATGACTACAAAAAAATATATTTAAAATATTCGGCCGATTATTATCACTAATAAACACAAGGGACTAGTTTATACGTTCACTGTTGTTTTAAGTTGGGGAAATATAAAAATAGTGTAGAAAATTAAAAGATGGATATGTATTCTGGACATGGTCCCCGGCATCGACATTTATGTGACTTTCAATTGTCATTTATTCATAATTAAAATGTAACTTTTGATGCGCGATTGCTTTTAATTTCTAATCCTCCAAAGTTACATTTTTAAATAGATAGGACATCGATTCTTTATTGTGTATACGTCGGATCGCCTCTGCTAAAAGAACACTAATGTCAACAGTCTTGATTTTTGGGCATTGCATCTTCTGCACGTCGTGAGGAACCGTATTAGTTACAACTACCTGAAAAAATTTAATGGACCATACTTTTCCATCTTAAATCTCAATTTTCCATATGTTAAAAATGCCTCTAATTTTAATATCGTTACCTCATCGATCGGAGACTCTTCAATGAGCCTAGGTGCATCTGAGCTGAGCAAGCCATGTGTAGCTAAGACATATATTTTATAAGCTCCTCTTTCTTTAAGCACTTCGGCAGCTGCTACGTACGATTGTACATCATCTATCATGTCATCCTAAAAATAATTTTTTAAATGTAAAGCGCTCATATATATGATATAAAAATGTATACCATCTTACCCACCACCATAATAGCAATACGTCCTCCGACATCTCCGACAACACTTATAGGCGGCTTTTCTTTCGCTGGATGTAAAGGTACACCTACGCCAACATCCATAGTGCGCGAGGCTAACGCCAGCGCGGGTGGCGAATAGCGACCATCATTCATGTCGGATTCGGCCTCTCTCTGTTCTCCATGAATCACCGCGATTCCCAGACGCAGTCTCTCTGCATAACTAGTCGCTTTCTTTGCGCTACCTGGATTTCTTGCAACGATCACAGAATTATGATAGTCAGGAATCTGACAAAAACAAAAAAAAAACAAAAAAAAATACATTTCATAAATAAAAAAACATAGTATAAAACATTTGTAATATATTATTTTCAAAACTATGAAAAAACAAAAATGTTATGTCTGTAGGTCTATAACCCTAATTTATAAATATTTGTTCTAATGTAAAGATATTAGTATTACTTTAAATAAAATTTACTTCAATTCAAAATATACTTAATAAAATAATAAATTAAGATTTATACAACAACATGTGTGTTACAGTGAAAAAAAGTCTTTTACATACGGATTCTTGAATGTACTGCAACAGGAATGGGCTAGCTCTCAGATTATCCACAGGAACATCAAAAAATCCTTGAATTTCCTTTTGATGGAGATCCATGGTGATAATGTGAGTTAGGCCGCTTGTACACAGCATTTTTGCTAAAAGCTTGGATACTATGCAGCCACGCTTGCGCATTTTGCACTGCTTGGAATAAGGTAGATATGGAATTACTCCAACAATGTTTTTGGCTGATGATGTTTTACAGGCATAGGCCATGATGAGAAGTTCCATTATATTATTATTTACATCCTTTGTACCAGTTTGGATCAAAAACAAGTCTTTGCCACGTACGGAATCTCCTATCTCCACCATTGTCTCACGATTCGTTTTGTGATACACAGCACATCCACCAGGTTTCACCCCTAAACGACTTCAAGTATACAAAGCATTTTAACTTACAAATATATATATTCTTCAAATATATCTTCCACTTATTTATATATAACAGATTTAAATTTAAACATTAATTTTTTAATCATAATCATTAATAAACTGCAATCTAATCTAAGATACCAATAGTAAACTTATCTAAGATCTATATCTTGCAACCTTGTACATGTATATTGATGTATATGTATATTGATATAATGATAGAGTATTTTTAATTTAAATAACCAAACAAATAATAATTTTTTAGCAGTATAGAGTATATATTATGGTATATTAAAAAAAACTATAAAATAAAAACAATATAATTACTATAATAATTATATACAGTAATATAAACTTGTAATGTATCTATTTTAAATCAATTAATTTTGTATCTATTTTACATCCATTAATATCCAAAATATTTGAAAATTATTAGATCTCTTCTTTTTAACTGCACATTCTACATTTTTATGCAAATTTTTTTTCTTCTCTCTTTTTTAATTTTAATATATAAATTTAATATAACATTCTGTTAAAGTATAATAAATAGACTGATTATTAGTATAATTATTTTTGCATAGCATAATCACAATAACATATGAAAATAATATTGACTTTTGATGTTAACATTATGCTATCTACTTTAATATCACTTACTTTGCGATCAGATTGGCAAGCTCTGGATGAGAATTCCCTGCAATGATGACTATGTCTGATGAAATTGGTTTCTCCATTATTTTGATAATGTTCACTAGTTGCGTAACAATACTGAGGCTTCCAAAGAACTAATGGTGAGATTTCTCTGTAAAGAAATTAATTTTATCTTATTTTGAACATTAAGTTTAAATTCATATTTAAAAAAAAAAAAACAAAGATTACATGGCTTTATAGAACAAAATTTAAATATAATGATAATCTAAGATAAAAAAAATATATATTTAATAGAAATTATAAAAAAAGAACCTTCGATTACGTTTGTATGAATGGATCTGTAGAAAAAACGCAAAATAAAATCGTGAAACATGCATACGTACACGCAATATAGTTGAATTTCGTTATCTAAACAAACAATCGATCAAACTCCGTCTTTACGCGCACAGTATATACTTGCGACGAAATAAATCCCACTGTGTCAATACTATGTATGTATAAATTCGATTATAGTATTTTACATTATCTATCTTTGTCAGTTCAGATACAACTCAATCGTAAGAGATAATCACCACTATTTACAAAGCTGACCGAAAAAACGGACGACGTTTTTTTCAATTATCTTATCCTTGATAACTGTCACTGTTGATAGCTTGGTGTTGTAATATAAACTCCTGTTTATCACATTTGATCACATCTGATTTGATATAGTTTATGCATTTGAAGTTAGGTACTTTTGAATTAAACACGTCTAGATATATTCGTATATCATGGCTGTCGGTCATTTATTCTAATTGGTCAATCGAACGTGACTATACTTCAAAGAGTAAAGTTTGGAACGCAATCCCCAAGAATACTTGAAATTAGAAGCTGAATCAGGCTATGTTACGTCTAGATATTCTTAAGTCGATGGTTTAGCAAAAAAAAGTTTGCAAAGGTTTCATCGGCAGTTATCGTGTCATCCTGTCATCGGCGATTACGAGCCATTACCAGCAATTTGAGCCAAGTAGGATTTTTGATGAAAAAATTATTGTAATATATAGGCAACAAAATATTGATGAAATACAATAAAAATATCTTTTTACATAAAAATGTACTATATAACGTTAAAAAATATATTAATATATATAATATGACATAGATCATATGATATATGTCATAGTTGTCAATTCGATATCATATGATAATGTCAATGATAAT